TTTCAAAGCGTTGGTTTAACCAGAACAGGACATTGTTAGGAATAACTACAGGCGACCAGGGAAGGCATAATATAGACATTTGAACCAGGTCAGGACCAATGAGCCCAATTCCCGCTGGCGGGAATAGAACATACAATTCGCGCCCATTGCATGGGAACGTAACAGTTCTATAATATCAACACAGGTTCAGTTCACAGGCTAGATACCCAAAACACTCTAGGCGAAGCTTCCCTCCTACTACCAGCTGCACGACCTTGGCGAGTTCCGCTGACTACAAAACATAACTCAAATAAACAAGGAACGAGGGGGGGGGGAAAGAAGAAAACTGAACAGGAACCGGAATGACAATGGCAGCTAGCTGACACAAGGTCAGGTAAGAAAACATTAGGAAAGAACCTGGAGAGCTTAATCAGGGGAGCTTTAAACTGAAGCTGCAAGGGGAAGGGGATGATCAAAATGAAGAAGAGAAAACAGTGGGGACCCACCTGGGTAGTACAGGTCTAACAAAGGTACAAGGCTACAAGTGCCTATATACCAATGCCCATAGTATGGGTAATAAGAAGGAAGAGCTTGAGATTCTCTTGCAAACAGAGGGCTATGATATAATAGGAATCACTGAGACTTGGTGGGATGATTCTCATGACTGGAATGTGGTAGTGGATGGGTATGAAAGAAAACCTGGAAGGGTAGAAGAGGAGGCAGAGTGGCACTGTATGTGAAGAGAGGGCTAGATTATCAGGAAGTTCTGGAGAATGTGGTTGACAGCCCCGTGGAAAGTAAGGTAAAGGTAAAGGTTCCCTTGCTCGAAAGCCAGTCGAATCCGACTCTAGGGTTGCAGTGCTCATCTCCGTTTCAAAGCCGAAGAGCCAGCGCTGTCCGAAGACGTTTCCGTGGTCGTGTGGCCGGCATGACTAAACACCAAGGCGCACGGAACGCTGTTACCTTCCCACTGAAGTGGTACCTATTTATCTACTTGCAATTTCTTGCTTTCGAACTGCTAGGTTGGCAGGAGCTGGAACTAGAGACAGGAGGTCACCCCGTCTTGCGGCACCCGGGTCTTGAACTGCTGAACTACTGACCTTCCACAGCCTGCAGTTCAGCGTCTTAACCACTTGAGCCACCGCAGCTCCAGTGGAAAGTATATGGGTGGAAATAAGGGGAGGTAGGACAAAGGGTATTGTTGTTGGAGTCTGCTACAGACTGCCAGACTAGGGACAGGAAATGGATGCTGCCCTTCTTGAACAGATTGGTAGAGTATCCAGGCATCAGAACCTTATAATTATGGGAGACTTCAACTTCCCCAATGTGTGCTGGGAGACAGGCTCAACAAAGTGACAAGAGTCACACAACTTCCTGACCTGTCTGGCTGACAACTTCCTTTTTCAGATGGTGGAGGAAGCTACAAGGGGCTCAGCCATACTGCTTAATATTAACCAACAGGGAAGAATTGGTAGACATGGTGAAGGTGGTGGTAGACGTGGTTAAGGTGGTGTCCTCCTTGAATTCCAGTTGCTGGGGGGGGGGGGGGCAAGGAAGTTCGTAGTCAGACTCATAGGTTAGATTTTCGTAGGGCTGACATCAGTGAACTCAGAGGCTTGATGGGAGTCATTCTGTGGGGGAGTGTGCTGAAAGGGAAAGGAGTGAGTGAAGGGTGGGCTCTTCTCAAACATGAGCTTTTGCAAGCTCAAGCCCTCACTATTCCAGCAAGACAGAGACATGGTAAGGGCTCCAGGAAACCGATGTGGATGAACCGAGAGTTCCAGAATAAGCTAAGGGAGAAAAAGGAAGTGTTCAGGAAATGCAGGGAAGGTCAGACCTCTAAAGAGGAGTATATGGAACTTCCTAGGTACTGCAGATCAGTCATCAGGGAAACCAAAGCTCAGTATGAGTTGGGTCTGGCCAGGGGGGCTTGCTACAATAAGAAAAACTTCTACAGATATGTGAGAAGCAATTGCAAGGGAAAAGAGGCAATTGGACCACTTTTGGGAGTAGAAGGAGAAACTCTGGTGGAGGACAGAGAAAAAGCAGACAGGCTTAATGATAGTTTTGCCTCTGTTTTCTCCCAGAAGAACTCGAGCCCATCTAGAGATGGTAGAGGACATGACAGGACACCTGAGTGTCCAGTTGACACTGACAGGGAGGTTTTGGAGAGGCACCTGGCTGCACTGGACAAATACAAATCCCCTGGGCCAGATGATGTGCACCCAAGAGTACTTAAAGAACTTTCTAATGAACTTGAAGAGCCTCTGTCCATCATCTTCAAGGCCTCCAGGAGGACTGGAGGGTTGCCACAAGATTGGAGAAGAGCAAATGTTATCCCAATCTTTAAGAAAGGGAAGAGGGATGACCCTGGAAACTACAGGCCGCTCAGTCTGACTTCTGTTGCTGGGAAGATATTAGAGCAGATTCTAAAGGTATCAATCTGTAAGCATCTGAAGGGCCACTTAGTGATCCGGGGAAGTCAGCATGGTTTTGTCCCCAACAGATCTTGTCAGACCAACCTGGTTTCCTTCTTTGATTGTGTGATGAGCTTACTGGATTGTGGGAACTCTGTTGATGTGATTTACCTGGATTTCAGTAAAGCTTTTTATAAGGTTCCCTGTGACATTCTGATGGGCAAACTGGAAGACTGTGGGCTGGACCATAGGACAATTCGGTGGATAGGGAACTGGTTAGAGGACCACACCCAAAGAGTGGTGGTCAATGGGGTTTCATCAGATTGGAGGGAGGTGTCCAGCGGGGTGCTTCAGGGCTTGGTTTTGGGCCCGGTATTTTTCAAGATTTTTATCAATGATCTGGAAGAAGGGGTAGAAGGGCTACTCATTAATTTTGCTGATGATACCAAATTGGGAGGAGTAGCAAACACCCAAGAAGATAGAGTTAAAATTCAACGAGACCTGAATACTCTGGAGAAGTGGGCAGTTGTGAACAGGATGCCATTCAACAAAGATAAGTGCACAGTGTTACATCTGGGCCACAAAAATGTCAAGCAAAAATACTGGATGGGGGATATGTTTCTGGGGAGTAGTGTATGCGAAAGAGATCTTGGGGTAAGCGTGGACTGTAAACTAAATATGAGCAGTCAGTGTGATGCAGTGGTAAAAAAGGCAAATTCAGTCTTGGGTTGTATTAAAAGGGCCATAGCATCGAAATCGCAGGAGGGCATAGCCCCTCTGTATACTGCCTTGGTCAGGCCGCACCTGGAGTACTGTGTGCGGTTCTGGAGGCCTCACTTCAAAAAGGATGTGGGCAAAATCGAGAGGGTGCAGAAGAGAGCGACGAGAATGATCAGGGGTCTGGAGACTGAGACCTACAAGGAAAGCTTAAGGGCCTTGGGAATATTTAGTTTGGAGAAGAGGAGATTGAGTGGGGATATGATTGCTCTCTTTAAATATTTGAAAGGTGTCATTTGGAGGAGGACAAGGAGCTGTTCCAGTTGGCAGCAGAGGAGAGGACCCGAAGCAATGGTTTTAAATTACATGCAGAAAGGTATCGGCTGGATATTAGGAAAACCTTTTTCACGGTCAGAGTGGTTCAAAGGTGGAATCAGCTGCCCTGGAATCACTGGCAGCTTTCAAGAAGAGGCTGGACGAATATTTGTCAGAGATGCTTTAGGCTGGTCTTGCATTGGTCAGGGGGTTGGACTAGATGGTCTGTATGGCCCCTTCCAACTCTATGATTCTGTGATTCTACGAACATCCTCCCTAGAACTGGGGTGACAAGTGCTGTCATTTTCTCAGCCTTTTATTTGGGGAGGCCATTCATTTGTCAAGGTAGTGTGGTGTAATGATTTAAAACATCCAACTAGAATCTGGGAAACCTAGGTTTGAATCCCCACCTGGCCATGGAAGTTCACTGGATGACTTTGGGCCTGTTGTGAGAATAAAATGGAGGGGGCAAAAACAATGTTGTAAGCTGCTTTGGATCTCCCCTGGGGAGAATATTGGGGTCCAAGTAAATAAGTAAGAGCAAGAGATAAAACATTAAATATAAGAATGGATACGATGGTGCTGAGAAGTGTTTCATTCAGATATCATGAACGCACACAACACATGAACACATATGAAGCTGCCCTATACTGAATCAGACCCCTGGCTATTGTCCGCTCAGACTAGCAGTGCTCTCCAGGGTTTCAGGCAGAGGTCTTTCATATCACCTGCTGCCTTCTGCTTTTCACTGGAGATGCCAGAGATTGAACCTGGGATCTTCTGAATCCCAAGCAAATGTTCTGCCCCTAAGCCACAGCTCCTCCCCATTAATAATCTCAGCTATAAATTCCCCAGTTGGCCCTGAAGTCTTCACTTCCTCTCAACCCCACACATCTGCAACCTGGAGAGAAACAGCCTTGTCCTACTTTACATGGCTGTTGTGAGGAATGTAGGTAAATCCCATTGAACATTTTAATTGTACTCTATAATTAGTTTTAGGTTGCTTCATGCTCAGCTGGTTTGGTTTATAAGACAATTTAATGAGAACACTGAGTATTTATGATACACTGCAGGCACAATGTGTGGGTGTGTTTTTGTGTTAATTTGCACATTGCTAGTCTGTAACAGTTTAGGATTTAGTGTTAGGTAGTTGATTTGTTTCCTGCAGATCTCCCTACATATTAAAGCCATGACCTGCTGCACAAAATGAGATTTGGGCAAAACCAAGCTCAACAGCTGTGGAGGGCTTTTGTCAAAGACATTTTGTGTGGTGCAACATTTTAAGCTTATTCAGCGATTAGGAAATAAAATTAGGGCCACAAAATGTAAATTGAATGTCTAACGTGCAACTTGTTAATAGCAAATCATTTTCCAATGGCCAGAAGGATTCACAAGTCTGTATGTGGCTTAATAGTTGTATAACTCAGAATGCTTTAAAAAAAATGATAGAAGGTCTTAAATATTTTCTGAGCCATACTTTGAGAAGGATTTTTTTAAAAAAAGTTTAGTTAGGTGATCTGATGGTTCCCTAATGTGATATAATTCCTAAAACGATTCCTTTAATTTTCCTAGGAGAAGAAACTGTGATTGCTGTACCACATGGGAGTCGCAGTGCAAGAATTACTGTGAAGGGACCAGCACACCTTGGTATGAACACCTTTATGCATTAGTAATGGAGTGTTAGGACAGAAACATTCCCTTTGAGCAGTTCTATGCTTTGGGTTGGTTTAGGCATAACTGAAACACTTAGTCAGTGCCTGATTCCTAATGCGAGAGGCCAGACTTTGCAAGAGGTGCTGCTGAAAACTGGTAGCCCTGCATCTTCTCTAATGTCTTCTGTGCTAACTTCTAGTCATAGAAAATATATGCCATGACATCATAGTACTGTCAATGTACCCACTCATGCTCTCCTTCAATGGTTTTTGCTCTGGGTGGAGCAGGATGAGGTTGTCATGCATTATGTATTTATTAGCGGCTGCCCTGAAGAGAGCAGCAGAGACGTGGGGCCTATATTTTCAGTGGCTGTCATGTGTCTCCCATAATGTTTAATTTGAGCGTTAATTATGATTTGTGTTTTCCTCATTTTGAGAGGGATTGTTTTAATAGTCAACCTAAGAATGTGTGTTACTCAGACCAAAGATGTGTCTCATCCAGCATCAGGTTCTTTCATTGACTAGCTGCAAGGCACTTCTTGAAATGACGAGCCGAGCAACACACACACCTAAACTGGGTATGACGCTGTGAGTCTCACCATGGAGAGTGATCCTAAGCAGGTCCACTCAGAATCCTACTCGGGTCTATTCAGTAGGACTGAATTCCAGAAAAGTGTGTTTAGATTGATCAGGTGGCCTTTAGCAAGTCTCTCAGCTTCAGCAATATGGCGGAAAGTGTAAATTAATTGTAAAGAATCAGAAACTCCAAAATGGTTTCCCCAAGTTTAATATACAGCTAACTAGGTCTAGCATGCTCTGCCCCAATTCCATTTTACTTCCTCCCCTGACTAACCAGAAACTTCCGGGCTCGTCCCATGCCCATCAGCGTTGCTTTTTTTTTAAACCTACAGATTGTAAACTGGCTGCCCTAGGAATACCCGTGCCCTCTCACCAGCAAGCCTTCCTTCCCAGAGAGCTGCGCCTCCTCCTTTGAGAAGAGCCACCTGTAAGCCGATTAGCCAGCCAATTAGTCTGTCTGTTTAAGTACTGGCAGAGAACCTCCCTTACCTGCAGATCCCAGGAGCCTGCAGTTTAGGTGGTAGTAGTAGTAGTAGTAGTAGTAGTAGTAGTAGTAGTAGTAGTAATTTATTGTGTTGACCATAGATCATAACAATACCAAAAAAGTGCATAAAATCCCACATGATAAAACTCCAAGGTAAATACAAATTAAATTAATATCCAACAAGGTCATATAAATACAGAGCCAAATTAGGTTGTGGTCATTTCCATACAATTCAATCTAATCGATCTAGCCACCGATGCAAACAAAGTGACTCTGTTAGAAACATACGGATCTTTATCTGCAAGCAAAAATATAACTTTTTCTTTTTTCTTTTTTTTTATAGCCCCCGGAGGGGATTTTTTATTGTATTTTTATTCATACTACAAACTATAACAGCAAAGGGGAGGGGTACTACATTTAAGGGGATAAAGAAAGATACCCACTACTGACTAAAATCCCAAGAGAGGAGATCTTCTAACCAGCTTAAACAAATATTTAGTCTCCCTCACGTTAATCTTACTATAAACTGAGTCAAATAAAGTATTAACTTTTCCAAATCTAAGTTTCACTGCCATACAGAAACACCCCAAAGCATCTCATCTACACATTTTTTTTAAAGGCACAATTCAGAGTCCTTCAGCCTTTACTTCTCTTTGCCTAATCTCTTCTGTAATTTATAAGGATATTTAGGGGCTGCCGCCCCTTCCTCTGAAAGAGAGTCCTCCCCGGAAGATTCTGAGTCCAGCTCGCCATTGGACTTGCTGTCCCTCCCTTTTCTTCTTTCTTCCTCTGGCTCACCCAACTGGACTCTTAAAAATTCCCGTGCTTTCTGAACAGAGTCAATCTTTTCATTTTTATCCTTGATCTTGAAGGTTACGCCTTCTGGAGTTAACCATCTATATCCAATTGCATTTGTCTGAAGAAAAAGAATTAAATCTTTGTATTTCTTTCTCCTTTGTCTTATTTCAAATGGAATGTCTTTCAATGTTCTGATGTTAGTCTCCCCCACTTTCAGGGGTACTCCAGATACCGCTTTCAGGATTGCATCCCTCACATGCCTCTTCGAGAATCTCACCACAATTTCCCCAGGCAGATTATTTTTCTTTATATATCCAGAATATGACCTATAGGCCACATCTATATCGTTTAACAAGGATTCCGCCTTCATATCTGTCACTGGGGCCAATGTTTCACTCATTAATTCCTTCAGATTGTCTCCCTTAGTCTGTGGCATGCCCTGGAAACGGAGAATCATATTAGCCTTTTCCATTTGTAGTTGTAGCAGTTGTTCTTCTGTAGAGATTTGCTTCTTTTCCAGCTTTTGCACTTTCTTTTTCACCTTTTGTGCAGTGGTGTCCACTTCTTTCACCTTCTCAGCTGTTTCATTCATCGTTTTAAGTGTCTCATTTATCTGTGTTTGCTGAGTGGTGATACACTGCGTCATTTTGGACATCTGTTCCTTGAGGTTACTCATCTGGTCCAGTAGGGGGCGCATGGATTCTGCCAAAGTCTTTGCCAGCTCGTTGGTTCCTTCCGGTTTAGGACTCTCAGCTGGTTTTGATTTCAAAAGTTTCTCTTTCTCCATCCTCTTTCCTGACATCTTTTTCATTTGTTTACTTTAACAAATATTCTGAAAGTCTCTGAATGCGCACTCAAACGTTCAAAATCGCCTTGGTAAGTGTTTCTTAACAGTTTCACACATTTTCTCTTCCGCTCCCCGCCCCCCAATTCGCTCAACAGTTCATGCGGTTGGGAGGCGTCCCTCCCCCGCCCGCCTCACTTTTCGTTTTATGAAATGGGGTAGGGAGCTTTCTTTTCTCTTTAACCGCTGCTTACATTAGACTCATGTTCATAATTGGTCCTCAGACCTCTTTTAGAACTCATTTCTGTCGCTCGACCTCCTACGCTTGCCCTGGTTGGCGTCACTTGAGTCCATTCGGTCTCGCGGCACGAAGAACCTTTGGGATGGAGAGGCGCCTCAATTCCCCGGCATTCCACTGGTGAAGAGGCAACCTCTCATACGTCCCATGGCCAGAGCCCCTTCCCCCAGGTCCCTGGGGGTGACGAGCCTGAGCACCCCCTCCTTAGGCCGGAGTGCAGCTTTACCCCTGGGAGGTCTGGGAGGTGAATTTGCTAACGCGTTGCCATCAACCGGACGTCTCCAAAAATATAACGTTTTCCATATCTGAAACTCCTTCCTGCAGAGATAAGATACTAGTGATAAATTTATTTTGAGGGGGCAAAAGTAGAGGGCATTTCAAAATGTAACGGGTCAAATCATCTACTCCAGTGCCACACATACAAAGTCGTAAGGGGGCAGGGACCCTTAGAAATTGGCTGGTGTGAATCATAGAGGGCATAGCTTGAAATCTTAAGTTGGTAAAGGCCATCCTTCATTTCATTGTTGTTAAAGTCTTTAGGTAAGATGACCTGGTATGGTCTTTTTAAAATAATTTGAAGAAAGGGGTCACTCTAGATTGACTGATTGCATTACTATCTAATTTCCCATCCATGTTAAATACCAATTCCCTCAACTCCTGCCTTGAACTGTTAGCTGTTAACAGATCATTTGGGATAATGTATTTTGTATAAGGCCCAGATGTTCCTTATAGGTCTCAACAGGACCTAGGAGAGAGTAAAAACTTTTACTTCCAAATTAATCCCGAGAACGTTCTAGGCCTTTCTTCCAATAACACAGGACTCTCAGATTAGCCCTGGCTTTCAAGGATGGGATACTGAGCTCAGCCCTCGTTAAAACCACAGGAGAGCACTTAGGCAACACCAGGATCCATCTCATAAAATTGTTTTGAATTGTTTCCAATAGATCCAGAATCTGCTCTCCCCAGCCCCATATTTCAGTCCCATATAGTAGGCTGGGGATCACCTTGCTGTCAAACAACTTGATTACAGGGTTAACCATGCCACCACCCTTGGAAAAGAAAATTTTCACTATTGCCCCCAGAATCTTTCTGGAGGAGGTTTTTAATGATAATAGGTGTGGTCGCCATGAGAGGGTTTCTGAGAACGTTATTCCTAGGTATTTAAATGTATGACACTGTTCAATCTGTACCCCTAAGATTCTCCACACCGAATTCCTAGGTCGTTTACTAAAGACCATCACATTGGACTTGACATAGTTTATATGGAGGCCCTCTTCATTTCAATACTTGCCCAGTTTATTCAGAAGCCTTCTCAGATCAATTTTAGTCAATGACAGTAACACCATGTCATCTGCATATAGCAATATTGGTACTTTGGACTGCCCAGTTTATTCAGAAGCCGTCTCAGACCAATTTTAGTCAATGACAGTAACACCATGTCATCTGCATATAGCAATATTGGTACTTTGGACTGCCCAGTTTATTCAGAAGCCGTCTCAGACCAATTTTAGTCAATGACAGTAACACCATGTCATCTGCATATAGCAATATTGGTACTTTGGACTGGACTGTGTAGTGTACATTAGCCTGTCTTCCTTTCTATTTTTTTCTGAGCTGCTTTTGTTACTTGGCTGTTAGGGTGTGTCGTTGTACCTCAAGAGCCATCTCTTTCGACTCTTCAAAGCTGTATGCTTTTACATCCCTTCTTTTGTTATAAAACTTGGGTTTTCTTGACCAATTGGATAAGGCAATTCATTGTTGTCACTTTCCCTTCATTTGGCATTTGAAGCGGTCTAGGGAGAGCATTTTTTAAGGGGTAGAGGAGAAGGGGTGTTAGAATACATTATAGGCTTTCCAGAAGCTGTTTTGTTAAGGGCTTTAGAATCCAAAATAAGCCAGAGTCCTCTGAAAATAATCCCCCTGCTGTAGAAACAACAAAACCAGAAGCTAATATTTTTACAAGTGGCTAATGCTAGATAACCAAGTTCATGAACTTACAGTCTAGCTGGAAGGCACTGTGAGATGCTGAATTCTTGATTTTTTTTTAAAATT